TTCTGTTGATACTCCTGGATTTGTTTCGCGGGGAGTTTTGTGGAGGCGCTACTGTTGTTCCCGTAGCGGTAGGGAGTTGGGACCGCAGTCGGTGTTAGACCGAATTTCTTCGCGACGGTGCTTGAGTACTTTCCAGCGTGTAGGTAGAACGCCGTGTCGTCTTCGACGACGTTCAGTCCTAGGTACTGCGTCACCTCGTCGGACACCGTGAGCGTCAGGTCCCTTTTCAGCTCCCTTTCGAACCAGGTGACGATGTCGGTGGTAGAACCGATGTAGAGCAGGTCGTCGACGTAGACGATGAGCAGAATGTAATCTCTTCCCTTCTGTAGTCGGTACATGCCTTGGTCATGTGGTAGTTGTAGGAATCCGATTTTTACGAGCCGGCCGTGAAGGTGCTGCTGCCAGAGCCGTGGGGCTTGCTTGATCCCGTAAAGGGATTTTTCCAGCTGGCATACTTTTGAAGGGTCGTCGATGAATCCGTGGGGTTGTTCGACGAAGATTTCGGCGTCCACAGGTGCGTACAAGAAGGCGTTTGCAACGTCGATTTGCCGTAGTGGTAGTTTCTTCGTGGCCGCGATGGCGAGTAGGATGCGCAGAGAGGTGTGACGGGAGACTGGAGCGAAGGTTTCTGTGTAGTCGGTTCCGTATCGTTGATCGAAGCCTCGTACGACCCATCGAGCTTTGAATCGTTCGATGGAGCCGTCTGAGTTGGTCTTGATGCGGTACACCCATTTCCCCGAGAGAATGTTCTTCCCGTTGATGCTCGTTGCAGGTACCAGTTTCCATGTTTCTCGGTCTTGCAGAGCTTTTAACTCTTTTTCCATCGCTTCCTTCCATTGTGCCTTATGTTCCCCCCCCAGAGCCTGCGACAGGGTCGACGGCTCGCGCGGAGAAGGCGGCGGCGGGTGCTGGACGGAGACCCATAGTCCTAGGATCTGCAGTCCCGTGGCTGTGTGTCGAGGGGAGTTTTCATTCTCGGGATAAGCTGCTTCATCACCGTCTTCAGGATCGGGTAAGAAGTTTGGCCCGATGCGTTCGGAAATATTCGAGTCGACGGGGTGTGGTGTAGCGTAGCCTTGGTCAGCGAAGTGGTAAAAGGTGTCGAGGTTGTTGCTATCGAGAGGATTATCTTCATCGAGTGGAACAGGTACGGAGCAGTAGGGGAGTGGTCCGGCAGCCTCCGAGGCTCCAGGGACGTCTTCTTCTGCTGCGTCAGCCTCGGCAGCATGGTCAGCGAAGGAGCGAAGGCCCGCGAAGCCGTCGGTGGGGTCGTCTGAGTTGGCAATGTTGTCCAGGTAATGCTGCAGCGTCAGTCGCTCGTAGAAGATAACATCACGTGATGCCACCGTATTTTTGTCGTGTATGTCGAGAATCTTCCACGCGTGAAAATGTTTGGCGATGCCGAGGTGTAGTCCCCACCGAGCTCGTTGAGTGAAGCGTCCTGCTCGAGCTGTGTGGGGTCTGTATTGTACCATGCAGCCGAAAACTCGAAGTAATTTTGTGCTGCCCCTTTTTCCCGTCCACAGCAGGTGCGGTGATGCGTTGTTGGGGAGCGATGACGAGGACAACAGGTTGTGCAGGTGGACTGCATGTGTCATCGCGTCTGGCCACAGTGTATTGGGCAGCCTCATCCCCAGAAGCAGTTTTCGCATCGTCGTCTGCAAGGTCCGGTTCATGCGTTCTGCTACCCCCTGCTGCTGGTGAGCATAGGGCAGAGACACCAGGCGTCGGATTCCCCTTTCCGCGAGATAGGTCCTGAAGCGTTGTGACTGGTATTCCAGTGCACCGTCTGACTGGAAACTCTTGAGTTTGGTTCCTGACTCTCGTTCGGCGATTGGAAGCCATGTGGTGAAGGCCTCGAAGGCTTGATCGCGCGTTTTGAGATTGAAGTGCCAGACGTATCTGGTTGCGGCGTCGATGAACGTGATGACGTAGTTGAAGTCGGCTTCGGTGTCGTCTCGAGGCATGTTTAGAATATCGCTGTAGACCTTTTCCATCGGAGCGTAAGTGGGTGCGCTTGGATTGTGATGGGCTGGGAAAGGTTGATGAGGAAGATCTGCTTCGGGGCACGTGAAGCATCGTGCTCTTGGTCGGCGAAGTTCTTGGCCGCTCGTCGTTAGAAGGGCGTTACGTTCTAACACCTCTGCTTGTATTGTTTGTAGTATCGTGCTGTTTGCAGGATGTCCGAGACGTTGGTGCCAGATGTCGTCGGGAGCGCGGTGACCGGGCGAGCGGTGGTAGATGTCGGCGTTGGAGAAGAACGCGACGACCGAGGCGGGACTTCGACAAGCTTCTCGTGTGGCGGGCATAAGTTGGTCTGCTTCCGTTGGCGGTCCTCGTGTTGATGGTGGTGGTACTCGGCTGGGTCCTGCTGCCGATACTGCAGGTGATGGTTTTGTTGGGACGCTTGCTGGTACTTGTCTTTCTTGTCTGATAACTGCTAATGCCCGTGTTCTCTCTGCTGCAGGTATGGTGTTGGAGTGCCAGAAGCCGTCACTGTCGAAGTCGGGATCAAGATCTGGTGGGTGAGTCCAGGCGGCGAACGATACGATGCCATCGCTGTCGGCAGTTCCGCGGTCGGGGACGAAGTCCAACACGAAGACACCGGACTTCAGGAGGGCACGACCGATGAAGAGACCGCCCTTCCCGTGGTAAAGTCGGAACTCGTTGGAGAAGGAGTCGCACTCCAGGTGAATCCCCTTAGCCATTAGTTGGCTTACGCTTAGTAGGTTGTATCCCAGATTGTCGACGATGAGGACTTTGTTGAGCTGAAGAATAACGTTTGTCTCCATTGATTGTAACTGAACCACGCCTTGCCTGTTTGTTTTCAGGTTTTCGTTGTTGGCGACGGTGATGACGACGTCGCGGTTGAGGCGTCGCTCGTGTTGTACGAAGCGTCCGGAGGAGCACATGTGCTGACCGCAGCAACTGTCCAAGAACCAGGTGTTCCGCCCGGTGGGTTCGGCGTTAGCGACTGCAGCGTATGTCGGGTTGACCTGAAGTCCTTGCGAGCGCGGCGGCGGGAATTCCTCTTCGTCTGGTGCGTAAGTGGGTGGTGAAGCGGGTGCGCAGTTGTCGATGTGTACCATGCAGTTGATGATGTTGGGTGTTTGTTGTGCAGATGTTGAAGAGCGCCTTGGAGGACTTGCTTGAGTGGAAGCGACTTGTGGGTCTGCTGCACGGTAAACGCGAGGGCGGTTGCAGTTGACCTTGGAGTGCCCGGAAGTCTGACAGTTGTGGCAGAACGGCGGCACGATGGTGAGTCCTCGGTTGTCGCGTTGATCTTGCTTGCTGCGTCGGTTGTAGTTGTTGTCATTTCTTCTTTGAGTGTAGAAGACTAACTGCTGTTGCTTCCTTGGTTGTCTTTCCTCGAACAGATCCATCTCCTGTTGTTCAGCGTGAAGCTCGGCGCAGAGGTGCATCTCCGAAATTCTTCCGTGGGCTCGAAGAAGTGATCGTGTGGTTCTCCATTTTGGCCCGAGCCCGGCGAGGACAAGTGTCACGAAGCTTTCTTCAGTGATCGTTCCTCCGCACCGAAGCAGGCGGTCGCGGAGGGTCTGGCAGCGACTCATATACTGCATCGCCTTTTCCCCGGTCTTCATCTGTATTGTTGTCAGCTGTTGCATGAGTCTGCTTTGTGTCACGCTGTCGTTTGCTTGGTAAAGGCACTTGAGGTGGTGCCATGCGAGCTCCGCGGAGTTTCCATAACTCCGATACGTTCTGATGCTCTGCTGCTCTTGTGGTGACAGGTTTCTCAGGAGTACCGTGTACGCCAGCAGCGACTGATATGTGAAGATCTCTTGTTCCTTCCCAGTGCCGTTGCTTGGGAATGGCAGGGACCCGTTGAAGTATCCCAGAAGATGCGCGGCCTCCATCAGCAGCTCGAACTCGAAGCTCCAGGTAAAGAAGTCGTGTCCGTTGAACGGTGAGGATGTTTGTAGCTTGATGACGTGTGAGAATTGAGCCTGGAGACTGAGAATTTCGTTTGGTGTTTGTTGTGATGCAGCTGCTGTTGGTTGGGCGCGGGGCGGCATGAACTCGAATGTCCCCGGTGAAGAATGATAAGGCGCAAAGGTAGGCGCTTGGTTGTGTCGCCCGAAGGATGAGTTATCGAGGCTCATCGGCGCTAATCCCATATTCCCTCCATTGCTCTGTGTTGAGTACGCAGGTGTCCTTGTCTGCTGTTGCTGGTCGAAGTGCGACATGAAGCTGAAGAATCTCTCCATGAGATTTGGGTCCACACTTGAAGAGGGAGACGGAGTCACCATCTCTGGTACTCTTCCCGTTGTTTCTTGAGCAGTCCCGGTCTCTGTCTGCAGTCCTGAGGTGTGCAGACCAGAGTTGCCGTGTTGAGTTTCTTGGGCGCTGGGTGAGCCCGTAGAGACTTTCTTGCCCTTGTTGTCCATGTCTTGCAATCAATGAAGTTGTTGAATTGAGTTGAGTTGCAGGTTGTTGATAGAACGTAGTTGCTGGGAGTTTGGTCTCTGACCAGCTCTCATACCATGTTGGGCTGAGAAAATGCCCTTAGGATCTTTTGCAGAGACTAAGTCCCAGCTGTAGAGATTTGAGACTTGGAGTAGTGCAGCGGAAGTTGAGGCAGTTGAACCCTTGTACTAGTATGTGAGAACAAGTGATTGATTAAAGAAACAAGCATACAGCAATATATAGAAGATAAGAAAGCAGTTGTAGAATACAGTTACAGGAACGGTTTATCGAGTCGCACAGCGACTCGATTGCCGCTTCGGTTACCATCCGTGATGTTGTAACGGTCAGTCGCAACCTCCAGTTGCGACCTTTCGAGTCCTTTCGCATTCTTTGTCCGCCCCCTCGTGTAACCTCCGTTGACTCGCGTGCTCCCCTGTAATCTTCCTCGAGTACAGTGTTACACTTCAGAAACGCTTAAGTCCTTGAGATATTTCCAACAGATAGCATTCATCTCTCGAATACGTGCTGCTATTGCTTTCCTATCCTTTACCATGTATGGATTGGCTGATTGACCTAAGTAGAAGCAAGGTCCATCCAATATCCGCAGTTCACACTACAGTATGCACAAACAAACCAACAAAGCGAGAAGGATAGATAGGAAAAGCACCACTCGACTGGACAAGCCACTAGTCCGGCTTTACAGAGTCCTCTGGGCATACGAGGAGGGGAGGGGAGGGGAGGGGAGGCGACCATACGGTACGGAAAGGTACAAGGGGGGGGGGCCTTGGCCTCCAGCCAAGGTAAACTGCACTGCGGTCTCTTCATCATCACTGCAAGGCCATGCCCCCAGCCGACCATATCCAAAGGCATTAGCCGCCCACCCACCATGGTCTGCATACTGGTATATAGTGAACCCCTTCCTGCGTCTTGCGCTCCTTGCTTCTATCTCCCCACCCCACCAACCCCTGCGATCCTGCTGCTGTTGCCTCTTGTGGTTGGCCTGCCCTGCCCTGCCCTGGGCCCGAAGCAAGGCTTATTCATGCATCCTCATGCGCCCACAAGTGACCTGTCACCTGTGGCCTGCCCCCTGTCCAGCTACTGGTACGGTACCAATTGATGTCCATGAGAGATGCACAAGCTGAGCCCAGCCAGGTCGCCCTAGGGACGAGTTGGCTGGAAGGAAGAATGGAGGAGCAGAAGAAGGCACATTCGCTCCAGGGTAGGTGCCAGGCAGGCAGGCAGGCAGCGGTTACCAACCAGCAGGCGACCGGCAGCTGCGAGTCACTAGAGGTGGACGCAGCTGCGAGGCGAGTCACCAGTCGAGGCACCAGGGGGAGGAGTCACCGGAGAGTCACCAGTCGAGGCCGAGTCCTTGCGAGAGGAAGAGGTGGTCCACGGCTTGGATGACCGGCGACAGCGCTGCCACAAACCGCTGCGCTCGCTGCTGCCACGCAGTGTCTGAGTCGGAGAGGGGGAGGGAGGGAGGGAGGGGAGGGGAGGGGAGGGGAGGGGAAGAGGGGTTGCAGAGGGGGGGAACAGATGAGCCATGAAACGAGATCGAAACGAGGTGCCACCACTACCGTACCAGACGTTGGTGCGCAAACGAGTCGACTCAAAAGCAGAGGAGCAGAGCAGGTCAAGAGAGAGGAAGTCATACTTCCAAAGCACAAAATTTTCCCGTCCTTCTCACCCATCGGCGACCAGGCTATTCAAACCTTCCCTTGACTTTCCCCCCACCTCCCACCCACTCACCCACGTACCTCAGACTGATTCCCAGCATCGTTTCAGCACACCACCCGACTCCCCCTCCAGCAGCAGGAAGGCAGGCGCGGAGGGAAGCGAGAAGAGCACCGAAGCTGATGCTCCTTATTCTGTGCTCCCCTCCTATTTCCCCCAACCCCCCACCACTCACCGGACCCCCCCAGCAGCAGCAGGAACGCGGGCGTGGAGGGCAGCGTGAAGAGCCACCACGCTGATTCCTCCCCCTTTTTGATTCTGTGCTCCCCTCCTATTTCTCCCACCCCATTATCCCCCACCCCTCCCCACCCCTCCACCACTCACCCGACTCCCCCAGCAGCAGCAGGAAGGCGGGCGTGGACGGCAGCGTGAAGAGCCTTGCGGCAACGAGGCTAATTCCTCCTTCCCTTGACCTTCCCACCCACCTACCTCCGACCGACTCCCACCATCGTCCCAACCCAACCCCCCATCACTCACCCGACTCCCCCAGCAGCAGCAGGAAGGCGGGCGTGGACGGCAGCGTGAAGAGCCCCGCGGCGACGAGGCTGCGCACAGGCCACGGGTGCACGGCGCTGAACACCTCGCTGTACGCCTGCCCCGCGTACACTCGCAGCGGCTGGGAGCTGCGGAGGGGAGGAGAGAGGAAGGGTTGCGAGATGGGGATGGGGAGGGTGAGACGGGAATGAGAGGCAGTGCGCACGGGCCACGGGTGCACGGCGCTCAACACCTCGTTTTAAGCCCCCCCAGCGTACACTCGCAGCGGCTGGGAGCTGCGCAGAGCAGGGGGAGGGGGAGGGAGGGAGGTTTGCAGGATCGGGTGGGGATAGGGAGAGGGAGGGTGAGACGGGAATAAGAGGCACCGAGCTCTCAGCGGCTGGGAGCTGCGCAGAGCAGGCGGGGGGAGAGGGGGAGAGAGTTGAGACCCCGGGTAGTGGTAGGGAGGGTGAGACGGAGAGTAGAGGCATTGCGCGTGTGAAGGTAATGAGTTCTCAAACTCTTATGCATGTATACTCCCCTCCTCCTTTCCACTTACTCCCTCTCCCCCGCCAACATTTAATCTGTCCATCATTCCCGCCTCTCCTCGCTCCCCCGCTCCTCCTCTTCCCCGCTTCCCCCTCCCTCCATGCGCGCGCGTACCTGTCCTGCAGCAGCAGCGCAAAGATGCGCCGGTTGAGGTCCAGTCCGCGCACCACGCGCAGCAGGTTGCGCGTGTGGCTCCCCTTCACCCGCGCGACCCCCCTCCGCTGGTCCTCCGCCATCATCTCCGCCAGCGTGCCGAACTCGCGCCCCGCCACGTGCAAATCCGCCACCTGCGGGAGGGACAAAGGGAGGCGGGGGGGGGGGGGGGGAGAGGAACCGGGGGTTGCAACGGGGAACGATGGGGGAATGCGCGCAGAACGAAAGAGACGGACGGGGAAAGAGAGAGAAGTCGGGGGAAAGTGGGGGCAAGGGGAGGAGGGATGGGTGGGGGATTGGGCCAGGACGGAGTGGGGGAGGGGGGAGGGGGGGGGAGAGGAGGAGGAGAAGAAAGAAGCGACGAGAAAGGAGGAAGGGGGACGGATACGGGTGGGGGAGTTAGGACGACGAACCTTGTCGAAAAACTCCTTTCCAGCGAACGCAAACGCGGGCCCGAGAACCGAGAACAGCTGCCCGATGCCGTCGCACGCATCCGCAAACTCCCGCACGCGGAGACTTCTAGAAACCTCCCCGCAAGATGCGGAACTCTCCCCGTCACAAGGCGCCGAATCCTCCCCGCCGCTGCCGCTACCAGAAGCGCTACTAGCACCGCCGCCGCTGTCGTCGCTTTCGCCGCTCCTAAACTCGCTCGCTAGGTTCCCGCAGCTTCCGCCGACCCTCCACGCGCGCGGACCTGCGGACACGGGCGCGGGGGATGCTCTCTCGCTGGCGCTGGTCCACTCCGCGCGGGCTTCCTGCGCGCGTTCCGCCGGGAAAGAATCCTCCGCGTCGTCGTCCGTTCCGCTTACCGCCTCTCCGCGGGGTCGGGATCGAGCTTCCGCTGACTCCGACGAGATGAGCGCCTCGAAACGACAAGCGAGCTTCTCTAACGGACGCTTCTGCTGCTGCTGCTGGTGCTGGTGTTGGTGGTGCTGGTATTGCTGTTGCACCTGATGGAAATCGATGCTGGTTACCGCTGCTGTCGCGGATGCCGTTACCCCTACCGTCATTCGCGGCTGCTGACTGTCGTGAACCGCCACTGCTGCCATTCGGGCCGCGGGCTTTGACAGGCTTTAACTACTGGCGAAATTCAGCCGTGAGACCAGACTCAGCGGACGAGATTCAGCCGTGCGTGACTAAGGCGCCTCGAAATATGCCCCAAGATGGAAGTATACTTCGCGTAGACCTCGGATCTGGCACCTCGCGTTACTAAGGCACCTCGGTGCTATGTGAGCGGATCTGGCGGAATCATGCACGCGAGATACTTCTTCCGGGTAAGCTGTTCTGCCCTGAAAAGCCGGAAAAAAATATCTTCTTGTCAGGAGAATTCGTGCAACTCGATATGAGGACAAGGGATCCTGAGAAGAAATAACTGGGTTTCGACAGCGGCGAATCCGCTCAGGTGACTGGAGCGGCAATAATGGCTGGGCGAGGACGTGGAACGGTGAGGCGTGGGTGGGTCTCTCTGCTTGGGTGGGATGAATGCAATACTGCAATGTGCTGGGGAGCCTCCCTCTGCTGCTGTAGCCTGTGCTCCAGAGTGATCTCTGCTTTGCTGTGCGCTGCTGCTCTCTCATCTCTCGCTCAACTCGTCACTCCTGGCTGCGCTGAATATGGGCTCCAGCCGTTTCCCACCGAGCCCTTCCTCACCACCACCACGCCAACATGCGGAACACCGCCAAACCGAAGCGAGCCATGGGGTGTGTGTGATCGCGTTCTGAAGTTTTGACGATAGGTGCGGTACTGTACTTTTTTTCCGGCGTGGATGTCTAGATTGCGGGTATGCTCGTTATTTGCAGGTTGAATTATTGTAAGAAACAGCTCCTGTCAGACGCAAGTTCAAGAGAAATACCTGACTACTGGGGGGAGAGACTCTGCTGCGTCCTCTGCAGTCGCTGGAATATACATTCCCAGTGCGCATTTATGTCGTTCCTCTACCTCGGCAACTCGTATTCAGGGGGAAAAGGCCGTCTGTTTGTTTATATCAGGGTGGATAGGTATACGGCACGAGGAACCAAAATTGTTGTGCAAACTTCCGATGGCGTCCAAACTTCAGAATGCCAGAAGTGAATGGCTGGCATATGGATGGAGGAGGTGGGTGGGTGGGGTCATATGGGATGGTTTGGCTTGGGTTGGGTCATGATTGAATGGGGTCATGTGACTCGGGCAGTTTGGGATGATGGGATTTTCCAGGTCTAGTTGCCTGCCCGCACACCGATAAAATGTGGCTCGACTCTGCAACACAGGCGAGCGAAAGGCAGGGCTTGCCCTAAGAAAGAGTGAACAATCATCGGATAAAAACCCTTGTGAATGTATGCGGGACAAGGCTCGACGCCAATGCGTCGTTAGGGTTGCGTAGCAGCTTGATAGAATCCTGAAATGAAAGAGCAATTCTCTCATGCTAATAAATAGGTAAGAGAGTTTGTTTGTAAGGTAAAATATGTGCAATTGTTTTTCAGATTGGATATGAGCGTGAACGTGATTTGAAGCCATTAGGGGATTTTGATGAGAAATGTATAAACTAGAACAATGCCATGGGTTTTCTACAAATCTCAACATGAAAAAAAAGGTTTGGTTGAAAAACAACATCAAATGGTTATTATGGATGCAAGGCGTGTACTTTATGTAGCTATAAGAACTTATGCATTTTTTCTGAGACGAGAGGAAAAAGGTATTTACTGTTGTGGCTTATTAATCAAGCTTGACTTTTTAGTTGCAGTGTTTCACGTGGGATGATGGTACAGTATGGCACACCGTCAAGACGATTGGTTAGTTTTGAAGTTGACTGTCAAGTTGCTGTGTGACTCCATCTCTTCTCGAAATTTATTGGAACCGTGAGTTTTTAGTTGCATGAGTACACTATCAGCCGAAGGCGGACTGTAGAGTCGTTTGCTGAATTCCTACGCAAACTTGGGCAGTTTTTTTATTGGGTGCGTATTAGTTTGTTTAGATCTTGACTGTCAAGTCGCAGTTTGACTGTGCTGTTTGCCGGAACCACAGGCTAGGAACGTCCACTGTAGTCGAAATTTGCTAGACCTTGACTGTTTATTTGCATGCTGTCAAGCGAAGGCAAGAATGTTCGCTGTACACGTTTTATACTATTTGGTCTCACGGTTTTTGCACGCGGCTCAAATCTGTAAGCAGGAAATAGTAAAACACGAGCAAACGCGACTTTGAAGGGGAAATCCCATACTAAGATCCCACAGAAATGACATTTGGTTACAAAATCTCGCTCATGCACTAGATTATTTGCCTGCGCGACGTCCTAGCTCTGACTGCAGCCAAATAGGTTTAGTGTCAACACGAGTCATGCCGAGAACTTTAGCTGGTGAGATTTAAAATTTAGACTGTTCTGGGTGAGACAATAGAGGAAACTAAGTGTAGTCAACTTTCCCTGCCATCAGGATTCTTCCCCGAAGTTGTTCTTTCCTACCAGAGTTCCCTTCTCACTGGTTCCTCCAGCACTTCAAGATTCTTCCCTGAAGAACTTCTTCCCTACCAGAGTTCCCTTCTCGCTGGTTGCTCTAGTACTTCAAGATTCTTCCCCCAAGAACTTCTACCCTACCAGAGTTCCCTTCTTGCTGGCTCAAGATTCTTCCCCGTTATCGTGGTTTAGCACCCCACCTGAAAGGTATTGCTGGTTGCTAGTTGCCATCCCATCCCTCCCACGCTCTCTGCCACGTTATGGCGCTGCGACGTGATGGCGTGCTAGAGGCACAGTGCGCTTTGGCGCCCTGTGCCGCGCGCGCTGGTGCCGTGCGCGCTGACGCCGCGCGCGCTGGCGCTGTTTGCGGTGACGCCGCGCGCGCTGGCGCTGTCCGCGGTGGCGCCGTCCTCGATGGTCCGGTGCGCTCTGGCGCCGTGCGTGCTGGCCCGGTGCGCGCTGCCGTGTGCGCTAGCGCGGTGCGCGGTGGCACCGTGCGCACGGTCGACGTGCGCAGTGGTGCCGTGCGCTGGCGCCATGCGCGCTGGGCCGGTGCGCGCTAGGCCGGTGCGCGCTGGCGCGGTGCGCGCTGGGCCGGTGCGCGCTGGCGCGGTGCGCGCTGGGCCGGTGCGCGCTGGCGCGGTGCGCGCTGGGCCGGTGCGCGCTGGTGCCATGCGCGCTGGCGCCGTGCGCGCTGGCGCCGTGCGCGCTGGCGCCGTGCGTGCGCCACCGTGCGCGCCGGGGCTGCCGCCGTGCCGGCCAGCGCCGTGCGCGCTGGTGCCGTGCGCTGTCTCCTCTCTCCTCTCTCCTATCTCCTCTCTCCTCTCTCCTCTCTCCTCTCTCCTCTCTCCTCTCTCCTATCTCCTCTCTCCTCTCTCCTATCTCCTCTCTCGTCTCTCCTATCTCGTATCTCCTATCTCGTATCTCCTCTCTCCTCTCTCCTCTCTCCCATCTCCTCTCTCCGCCCCACGCCTCCCTCCTTCCCCGATCCCGCCCCTACCGCGTCTCACCTCACCCTCTCAGGTCAATGCTTTCAACCTCGCAGAAGCCAGCAGTGTGATTCGGTGCGACACTCTGTGCCTTGCCTTTTCTCCGCCCCACACCCTCCTCCTTTCCTTACCCTGCTTGTCCCTACCGTGTCTCTCCTCAACCCCTCAGGTGAATGCGTTCAACCCAGCAGTAGTGGGCAACGTGATGTGCCGCAACCTTATCAACATTGAGTGGTGCGTGTGTATGGGCATGGCATGCCTGGCTGTGTGTGTGTATGGGCATAGCATGCCTGGCTGTGTGTGTGTATGGGCATGGTATACCTGGCTGTATGTGTGTATGGGGATGGCATGCCTAGCTGTATATGTGTATGGGCATAGCATACCTAGTTGTATGCATGTATGGGCATAGCATGCATGGCTGTACGCATTTATGGGCACAGCATGCCTGGCTGTATGCATGTATGGGCATAGCATGCCAGGTTGAATGTGTGTATGGACATAGCATGCCTGGCTGTGTGTGTGTATGGGCATGGTATGCCTCGCTGTATGTGTGTATGGGGATGGCATGCCTAGCTGTATGCGTGTATGGGCATAGCATGCCTGGCTGTATGTGTGTATGGGCATAGCATACCTAGTTGTATGCATGTATGGGCACAGCATGCATGGCTGTATGCATGTATGGGCATAGCATGCATGGCTGTATGCATGTATGGGCATAGCATGCCAGGCTGTATGTGTGTCTGGGCATAGCATGCCTGGTTGTATGCATGTATGGGCATAGCATGCATGGCTGTATGCATTTATGGGCATAGCATGCCTGGCTGTATGCATGTATGGGCATAGCATGCCAGGTTGAATGTGTGTATGGACATAGCATGCCTGGCTGTGTGTGTGTATGGGCATGGTATGCCTCGCTGTATGTGTGTATGCGGATGGCATGCCTAGCTGTATGCGTCTATGTGTTAGGATTAACACATAGACATTACCTTGTGCACCTTCACCTTGTGCACCTGAGCCTTGCACAGCGCCACCTTGTGCGCGTTCACCACTTGGCGGCTTCATGCCTGGAGGTGCCCATCCCTCCGGCCTGCTGAAGCACTTGAACCAAGGATGCCCGACCTTCTTGCAGTACCAGCAGGTGCCCTCCATTCTGGTACTCCCCCTGCCACTGGAGCTCCCATGCCCCTCATTATAGTCACCTCGGCCTCTACCTCTGCCAAAGCTTCTCCCACGGCCTCGGCCTCTCCAACCCCTCTTCCTCTGCCGCGCCCTGCAGCTCCATACCCCTCAGCAGTCTTAGTGGCAGCACCGCCTCCCACATGGCGTCTGCGGAAGTCCTCCTGCAGAATCTGCTGCCTTAGCCACTCAGGTGTCCATTGATCTTGCTGAGAGTTGAGGGTGGGGATGAGGTTGTCCCAAGAGTTGTCCAACACCGAGATGATCTTGGTGCACTGCTGCAGCTGAGATACACTACTGCCCGCTGCTGCCATCCTTGCATAGGTGTCCTTGATCTTGTCAAGGACCGGCTTCACATCGTCCCCTGGTCGCATGGAGATGGCAGCAAGTTCCTTCTCGAGCACGATCACCATTGGGAGAGTGTTGGGCTGAATCACATCACGTAGTAGTTTCCACGCCCTTGGACCCGAATCATCCGCTTCCACAAGATCCTTGATGTGCTCGAACATCTCCTTGTTGACCGATTGAAGGATGAGGTCGAAAAGCACCGCGCTTTTCTCAATCCACCGTTCGCGTGCTTCGCCTTCTTCCGGCATCTTCTCTTCCCCAACAGCAATCTTCAGTAGCTTGTAGCGTTTGAAGGCACTCCTCATCCGTCCGCTCCATTCCTCATAGTTGGAGCCATCCAAAGCTTCAACTTTTGATGGCGGCGGCTCACTTGTCTTCTCAGCTACAGCTCCTCTTCCATTAGCATCTCCTCCTCTCTCATTCATCTTCTCCTTGAGAAATGACGAATTTCAGCTCCCCTTTGCTGTCCACACTCAGCTCCCTCGATATTTTCACAAGTATCGGCGTCCACGAAATTTCGGCAGAGTTTCCCCTTAGCGGAAGA